CGGGTTCGGGTTTAACCGGGTTCGGGTTTAATCGGTTCGGGTTTAATCGGATTCGGGTCTGAATCGTGTCTGAATACATTCGGTTCGGGTTCGGTTCGGTTCGGACCATTTCGGGTGTTCGGTTCTATTTCGGTTCTTCAGTTTTCGGGTCAAATCGGGTTCGGTTCCGGGTTATTCGGTTCGGGTTATCGGGTCCGGGTCAGTTTTGCCAGGTCTACTGTCAACCGCGTGGCCATGATTTTCCACGCAGAATGATTGGGAACAGTCCAAGGCATTTTATTGAAGATTGGTTTGATAAATATCGTAATTGGTTAGAATACAGTGTGAAAAAAGACCAAGCCTATTGTTTGTATTGTTACCTTTTTAGAGATCAATTTGGTAGACAAGGTGAGAGTGATGCATTTGTTGTTGAAGGTTTTAATAGTTGGAATAAGACAGAAAGATTTTCAAGCCATGTGGGTGATGTGAATAGTTTTCATAATAAAGCACTTGAGAAATGTGAAGCTCTAATGAAACAAAATCAATCTATACATGTTGCTTTTCATAAGCAAAGTGACTTGGTTAAGAATGAATACCGAATTAGGTTGAATTCTTCCATTGATGCTTGTAGATTTTTGTTGAAGTGCTCATTACCATTTCGTGGTCACGATGAGTCGGAAAACTCAATCTTTAAAGGAAATTTTCTAGAAACTATTCAGTTAATTCGAGAGCAAAATGAGTCTATTCGCAGAGTTACATTAACAAATGCACGAGGCAACAACCAAATGGTAGCTCCAAGCATTCAAAAAGATATTTGTGATTGTTTTGCTCAAGAAGTAATAAAATTCATTCTTGATGAAATTGGTGATAATATCTTTGCCTTGATGGTAGATGAATCAAGTGATGTTTCAAAAAAAGAACAAATGGCTGTGGTTTTACGATTTGTTGATAAGAATGGAATTGTAAAAGAGATGTTTGTTGGTCTCATACATGTGAAGGATACATATGCTTTGTCACTCAAGTGTGCTATTGACTGTTTGTTTGCTGAATATAATTTGAGTTTGATGAAGCTTAGGGGACAAGGTTATGATGGTGCAAGCAATATGTCTGGTGAATTCAAAGGCTTGAAAGCTTTGATTTTAAATGAAAATCCTTCTGCATATTATGTGCATTGCTTTGCCCATCAACTTCAATTAGTAGTTGTGACAATTGTCAATGAACACTTAGGTGCTGGAAATTTTTTTAACTTAATGTCTACTCTCATGAATGTTGTTTGTGCATCTTGCAAGAGAAAAGATATGATTCGAGAGAGTCAAAAACAAAAATTGGAAGAAGCAATTGGAAATGATGAAGAGAACTGGAAGGGGATTAAACCAAGAAATTTCTCTAATAAGAGCCGGAGATACGCGTTGGAGTTCACATTATAAAACACTATTGCGCTTGGTTGATTTATTTCCTTCCGTTCTTGAAGTTCTTAAATATGTTGAGGATGAAGCAGATAAGAGGGCTAGTAAGACACAAGCAATTGGTCTTCGAGTTTATTTTAAATCATTTGAATTTGTGCTCTACTTGCATTTAATGCTTAGTATTTTAGGAGTTACAGATTTATTATCACAAGCTCTTCAAAGGAAAGATCAGGATAT